TTTGTTCTTTCTCTACCCTCTCGCTCACAAGCACGCTCTCTCACAGGCAAACTATCTCGCTCGTAAATACGTTAGCAAACCACGTGATCTATTCACTCACCTAGCTCGCTCATATATATCGGTCTGCGAGGGTTAAACGCCATCACTGCGAATGCGTACTCGCCTCTCCTTTTTTTTATATTTTACTTATTCGTTCTTGAACAATGCCACCAAAGCCTGCCAGCAAGGGAGCTAAGAAGGCCGCCAGCAAGGCGAAAGCTGCTCGCAGCACGGACAAGAAGCACAAGAGAAGGCGAAAGGAAAGCTACTTTATATACATATACAAAGTGCTGAAGCAGGTTCACCCGGACACGGGCATCAGCGGCAAAGCCATGTCAATAATGAATTCGTTCGTCAATGACATCTTTGAACGAATCGCAGCCGAAGCTTCTCGCCTCGCCCACTACAACAAGAGATCCACAATCACCAGCAGAGAAATCCAGACGGCCGTCAGGCTTCTGTTGCCCGGCGAGTTGGCCAAGCACGCCGTCAGCGAAGGCACCAAGGCCGTCACCAAGTACACCAGCTCAAAGTAATCGACCACTGAAATAAAGACAAGACAAACGGCTCTTTTCAGAGCCACCCATTCTAACGATGATACGCTTGCCAGCTTAGCCAAACTATTTTTTTCATTCTTGAGTATATCTAAAAAACACGGGATGGCTGTGAGGAGTCCTTTTCAAAATATGGTATATAATTGTCAGTTTCATATAAATATATATATATACACACATATACTAACAAATACATACGGACAAGTACAGTCATATATTAAGACAAATAAGCCGCAATCTTACTAACAGATTGTCAGTGTTCATAAAAATATATACTTGCAAGATTAACACATGTACATGTCAAGTATAGCCAGTACAGTATGTACAGTATAGAAAATACTATATACATCGTAATCTTACTAAAAATGTTCAATTCATCTATATATAACAAACACAAACATTCTTATCTGAATTCATTGTCAAAATAAAGTAATTTTTTTAAATAATGTCTACAAATCATTAAACTTATTATGCAAAAACCAGGATAAACATACGGCATGTACGCACACAACACATGAATGCACATCTACATGTCATTACCAAAAATAACTGACAAAATTTGAACTTTCACAAAAAAACAATTTAATAATCACAATCACAGTTTATTAAAAACACTTTCAAATATTTCTTAAAATTTTCACATTAAAGATATCCACAGGAAAACCCATTTGTAAAACGTGGTTCCAGCTTCTTGGACCCCTGCATATGATATGGTCGTCTTTAAAAAATTTTTTCTTCTCTTTGCGTTTAAAGGAGAAAAAAGGCATT